GCCTATTATTTTCTGATACATCTATCAGTAGTCTATTATCACCTGTACTTTCATTTTTGAAAAATCAATACTTTTGGAGAAATTTTAAAAAAATCCCTTTTTTGGTAGCGGAATCACATAAATTAACCAAATTTTTTAAAAACAAAAAAAAATAATTTATTATTTGAAAATTATAATTTTCACCTTCAAAAATGATAATAGTACCTATTCTTTTGTAAAATAACATGAATTTAGAATTTTCCAACATATAGATTCTGCATAATAATTGCATTTAAGTAAGCTATTTTTTACTATATTTTAAAATTTAAAAATACTATGTATTTGGATCATTTTTTTCACATTTTACCATTGAAATACCAAAATATTGATTTTAGATCTTAATTCTATATAAAATGAGCTTTAGTTTGATAACAAACTTGATGGGATTTGATAAGTATGAAAAATTACAAAAAATCACTCTGCATTATGAAATTACCCAATTATAATATTTAATAATGTTATGTGTACTGCATAACTGTTACATAATTATTTTATATAATTAAAATTTATAATATACACAGACGTTTGATTCATAGCCCCTATTATAAAATGGTATCATCTATTGTCAGACACAGGCATGCAGCCAATTGTCTTGAAATGGGATGTTCCATTATGTGAAATAGGGGTGGGTTTAAAAAAAGTTTTATGACTTGTGTTTTTAATTTAAATTTAGTTTTAAATATTAATAATCAATGTTCAATTATTTATTTTTAGATTATTCTTGATTGAAGAAGGTAATGGATATATTTAATTCAGTCAATTAAACGACTTCCGTGACGAAATGGAACTTTTGGATGAAGATTTAAATCAGCTTGGTCCATTTTCTAAGGAATGTAAATTGATGTTGCATGATCTCACCAATCCTGTTGCAGGCAAACTAAATGTCAAGAATGGCGTCATTATGGAAATTATTTTAAAAATTGTGAATTTCTTTTATTTATTATATCTTGTTTCCACGGCAACACAATTGAATGTGTAATTTCTATAACACCAGGTTTTCTCTGAACTCTTCATAAAGATATCAACACAAATGTAAACATTTTTTCTTGTTTCAATGGCAACCTGAAAAATACTTTTAATTGTTTTATGACATCATATATAATGCAAGATGTTCTCAACCAGCATTTACAAAATATTTCATGGGGATATCTGAAAATGTAGAAAATACATAGAAAAATGTTTTTTGTTAAAAATGGCATTTTGTCATTATACAGTTTCCATGGCAACTGGAAAAAACAAGCTAAATATTTTTTCTAAAAAAATTATTAATATTAGGTAGCAGCCAACATTTCTTTAACATTTCCAATAAAATGTTGAAAATACAGTCGACTCCACCTCCACCTCCACCTAAGTCGAATCTAATGGGACTGGCATAAAAAGATCGAGTTATACAGATTTCGACTTGCAAATTCTCTGGGAAAAAAAACATAGAACAATAATATGTGTACTCGAATTTCACGCAAAACAGAACATTTTTTTAAGTCCTAAAATCATTCCTATTCTTCTTTTAATAAAATACTTTCCTGAAAACTCCCTATTCCGAATCTCAGACAATTCGTCCAATTCAGGACGGTAACACTCACTGGAAAAACCAGACGATAGTTAAATAGACATCGTTTAACGACAAGCATACCACACACTGTGAAAACGAGACGCTTAGCTGTATTCGCATTGCCATGGAGATTATCTGTTGATTAAAACATGACACGCCAGTATACGTTTTGTTGGTTAATTATGAAGTGAAATTTAGGTACGCATTCCAATGTTTTAATTACTGTATATTCTTGCTTTTAATTCTTAAAAACCATTTGGAATCAACCTGAAATAAAGACGGAACTCGACAAAGCAAGTTCCTACTGGTTACTCTTTTTAGTAGACGACTAATTAAAATTTGTTAGCTTCGTCAGTGTAAATTGCAAATGTACCTCAAGATGCTATTCAAAACATGTTGCTAATTTTATTACGGAGGAAATTTGTAGAGAATAAAATCTAATTTGTTAGGTTTATTTAGATTTGACTCTAAAATAATACCATGAGGGTTTCTTTTTTACTTTGTTTTATAAATTTGTTTAACAAAACCTTCTTGATTACACCGAGCTTGTTTACTGTCACGCACTATACTTTGGGCGATCATCACAGCCAAGCACATGTCTAGTGCAAAACACCCCACGAAAATGGACCAATTGGCAGGCAGGCAAAGTTTTTGGGGGCGCGACCTATTCTGTTTACAACTAGACTGCCGACTAGCATTACCCAACGAAGAATGTGTGCTTAAAAAAACATAATCAGACCTAAAGAAATGCACGCAAAAACAATATAAAAATCGCATCAATTTTATTGGTAATAATTAAATTTGCTGAGCAGTACAGCAAAACAACAGGTACTATATTAAATAATGTGTTGAATTTGCGTAGGCTAGGCTAGGCCTAGTCAAAAGAATCCAGAGCTTTGATAAATTAATTAAATAGTTAGGCCCAGACTACAACAATCATGTTCAAAATGGGTTCAATACAGGTTCTTTAAACTGAACTGGACGACAAACTGAACATTGGAGCCGGTCCGGAGGGGTGTCTGTATTGTGAGAGTAGACTGCAACTTACGACATACGATCGTGTGAGCCAAGTTCCACATCACGCTGTCTGAGATGTTAGTTTTGCCTTGGCTAACTTGTTGCCATACAACAAGGATTGAACTTTGTATTTTTCCACGTGCGCTACAAAATTTGGAACTTCGACTTGTGTGGTTGAAATTACTTTTTAAAAAACCGGAAAATTCTGTCGATATAGCCAAAATTCGACTTTTACAGTAATACATAGGAAAGAATTGGGACTTTTTCAAAAATTTGACTGACGCGAATTTTCGACTTAAACAGAGTCGACTTTGGCGGACTCGACTGTATATGCAAAAAAAGTGTATTTTTAAATAAATCATGCTTTGTCGCAATGCGGTTTCCATGGTAACCGGAGAGAAATATATTTAATTTTATACATCTGTAATGTCAAAAATTTAGATTTTATGTATTACACCACAAACTTCATTTCCTGTAAATTTTGTAGTGTTATTTTAATTTTTAATGGAGTTACACCACAAATAGTGATTTTTTTAAACCAAAAAATGACTAATTTTGTCCCATTTTTACTATATGGTTAATATAGGAATAATGTCTTCAATCCAATACACGGGCCAAATTAAGACGGAGAAAATGCTGTAACTCAAAAAATAATTGACCGATTCATTTCATTCAAATTGCATTGGAATCTACGGAAGCACCTAAGTGCCATACGACTTGACAAGATAATTTATGTTGTCAAGTCGACATAATATACATATTATCATGTCGACATGGCGAGATAGATTATCTTGACAAGTCGTCATAGTAAAAATTGTATGTTGTCATGGTGAGATAGATTATCTTGACAAGTCGACATAATATAAGTTGTATGTTGTCATGGCGAGATAGATTATCTTGACAAGTCGACATAA